CAGGGCCGGGCGCGCAGAGACGCTCGGGAGCGCGGGGCTCGGGCGCCTCCTGGCGGCGGCAGCGCGAGGCACACGCTCGGTTCTCGGGCCAGTGGCAGGGCGTGGGGCGGACGCGGGATCCGCGCGCGGGCCCGCATTTCCCCACTCGCTCGGTTGGCGGCGCTGAGGCCTATTCCCCTCTTTATTAATAACGATGGGAAAAAAATAGAGCCTTTAAAAATCAGAGTGCGAGAGGGGAGTGTGTGTGTGTGTGTGTGTGTGTGTCTGTCTGTCTGTCTATGTCTGTCTGTCTTGGGGCGTTGGTGAAAGCAATAAAACTCAGATCGCTTCCTTGGCAAGATAACGGCGGCTATAATGCGCGGGAGGATCAGGGGTTTATTTGCAGATCCTGGATAAAAGATGATATATCGACACGGTTTAGAGTGTCACTGCGCCTGGCCTCTCAGGAAGCCACAAGTACATATTTCCTGAAATACCGCCCAGCACAGTATCTAATCCGCCCGCCACTTAACACCGGGAGGGGAACATCAGCACTGCACAGGCTTGCTCCTGGCTTCCTGGTTCTGGGTGGGGACAGCCCACAGGGGCAGGATCTGGTGCGCCTAGACGCCCCCTCCCCTGGCCTTTGTCTTCAGTCCAAGTAATCACTTAGCGATGGGCCTTAATAAATACGTCTGAGAACTGTCCTTATGCTTGGTAAATATTGGATTAGCTTTTCAATGACCAGGCTCTTGAAAAGGCTCGAGAAATCCACACCAGGTCTCAACTAAGCCAAACAGTCAATAGGTAAGGAAATAAGTTATTTCCCTGTCTGAGGTGGGGAACGTTGAGAAGGGGGGCTTCCACTCGTACCAAATTATCTGATTCTACTAAATATGACCGTTGTGCTAAATAGGAAAGGGGGCGCATCCAGTTTTCCCATTGGTCGGAATTTCCACCAGCTCAGTTCTGTTCATTAAGGGTTGAGTGACTTTGTGGGGAACATAACTGGGTTCCATTTTATATTTCCACGGAGCTCAGCATAAACTATTTTTGCTTAGTACATATTGTTTATTTGGGGATTGCTTATGGGAGTTTTGACCTGGCAGTTGCAGGGGAGAAAGCATGACCCAAATTATTTCCGACTGCCTCGCGCCAACTTGGACCGCTTAGAGGAGGCAAAAAATGGGCAAATTCCTTGGAAGCCCTGCTGTGTCTCCCTGGTGCTGAATTTTGTAAGCACACGATACAGGAGACGTTGAAAAATAAAGAGGAAGTATCTCCCTTTTCCAGCATGGGGAGAGACGCTGTTGGAAAAAGTTCTGGGAAGTGGTTTCCCATCGCACCAAGAAGCCAGTGGGATGGATCCCCGCGCATAATTCAAATGAACGCGCCATCTTTAGCTCTTTGGGGTTGGTTACCTAACCAAGTGGCCTGGCTGGGGGCAAGTCGCCTTGGAACCGGCTGCAGCTCAAGTCTAGCTGGGCCCCGGACTGAGAGGCGCCCTTGGCCTCTCAAAACCTTTCTCCTGGTGAGTGGAAAGGTGGCTCCGATCGCGGGGCCTTCGGGACGGGTCGGTTGGGTCTCTGGGTACCCTGAGTTGCCTCCGGAGTTCTAGGACTGTCCGACGGCGCAGAGCTCCTAGGCAGAAGTTTCTTGATACACACACAGGAGCGAGCAAAGTGCGCACAAGTGAGCTCAAACCCTGAAGGTGCAGGTTCGCTGACTCCCGTCCCAGCGTTAGAGTCAAGGAGAGAGAAGAGAAGAAGAGAGAGAGGGAGATTATGAGAGAAAGAGAGACTATAGAAAGTAGAGAGAGATTATGAGACAGAGAGATTATGAGAGAGAGAGATTATGACAGGAGAGAGATTATGTGTGTGTGTGTGTGTGTGTGTGTGTGTGTGTGTGTGTGTCAGAGAGAGATAGAGATAGAGAGAGAGAGAGAGAGAGAGAGAGAGAGAGAGAGAATGAGAGAGATCTAGCTTTCAGTGTCACAGGGCCTAGGCGGGGCCAGCGCCCTCCGAAGCCATCAAAGACAGGGGTGGCTTTTTCTCCCCTCCTCCAGCCTCCTCCCCAATAGATATAGCACGAATTTTTAATGCGTCTTCCTTTCACAGACAACAATACAGGGTTTGAAAGCCGGACACAATTTAGGTTTTGTGCGGATCCCTCCTCGCGCTCCCTCGGCCCAGCTGGCCATATGGAATCCAGCATGGAGCCCGCGGATGACAAAGGGACCCAGTGACAGGCCCAACAAAACCCCAAGGAGACTTCTGCCTGACTCCGGGATTCACTGCCCGCGATAAGCGCGCTGAATGGTGCGGGGTGGGGCGAGGGGTGGGGGGCGGGCCCTTTCTCTCTCTTCCCCTCTCTCTGTCTCCGCGATCCTTTCTCTGTCCCTTTTTAATATGCACGCCTCTAACATCTCCGGCTCCCAGCTTTCCCATTGTGCGGTTTTGTACCGCCCGCTGTAGATTGGGCTAAGATAGACTGCTGAAGCGGACCCCGCGCCGGGTGCGCTCCCAGGGCGCTCGGGTTAGGGCCACACAGGGCTCTGCAGGCGCTTTTATTGACTCCATGGGGACCTGAGGACAGAGAGAGGCGGGCGCCGGGCCCACCTCCCCGGCTCCCGGCCGGCCGCAGGAGTGCACACCCAGATTGCAGGCCCGCGGTCCTGACCACCGCTCCAAATGTGTCCTCAATGAGCAAGTGGTGGAAGCCTTCCAGAGTGAGGACCTTCCACGCTTCCCCCTTCCTCTCTGGAAACCTGGGGTTCTCCTGTGATCATTTTCACCCTGGAAACCCTGGGGCCTGGAACAGTCAAAATTGCCTCAGGCCTTCTGACAACTCCACTCCAAGAGACTGGAAACCCCCACCTTTCTTCCCAGAGGATGTTGGGGTTAGGGGAAGTTGCAAGTGGATGTGGGGGTGGTTAGTACCCGGGCACGCTGAGCATTCAATTATTGCACAACAAACTATTTGGGAGAAATTCGTTGGCCTTTACAAACAGCAAGACATAAGCCCCCAAACATTGCCAAGCTAGTGTGGAGAACAAAGAGAGACCTTTTAACATTTAGAAAAACTGCCCTTTCCCCGAGGATAAGCCTGGAGACGGGAAAGGACCTTTACCAGGATATTAGAAAGACTCCCGAGCCCTCAATTATCCAGGGCTGGCGTGGAACGCGGGACTAAGTGTCATCGCGTCCCTGGGCTCCTGTGCTGAGTGCTATTGACGCGCAGATTTGGTCGCACGGATAATCATGTTTGCTTTAGATATTGAATTAAACCTGATCATCAACTAGAGGGAGCGAGAAAGTCATCTGGGACAGCTCCCTTTGCCTGCTCCTCACTGCCACCCCACCCCCCCAGCCTTGACGGTGCAGCTTCGGAGAGAATAGATACGATTTCCAAATGCGCCGACTTTCGCGTATGGAAGCACCCGCTGGGCTCTGAGCTACAGAGCCCCTACTATTTTCAGAAACCAGAGAAAAAAGGCTCACCCTCTAGTTCGCCAGGACCCCTGAGACACTCCCCCGCGTGGCCAAGTGTGCGCCAGCATCCGCCAAGGAGATCTGCCCCCAGCGACAAGGGTGGGACGGAATCAGTTCCCCAATGAAAAGATAGATACGCCCTTCCCGGGCGAGCAGGGGGCTGTGTGCCCACTTTCCTTCCTGGGCGCCCACCTCACCCTCAAACCTCTATTTCCTACCAATCCACCCAGTCCAACGCCCAAGGGGGTGACTTGGGGGAACCGCACACCGCCGAACGTTGGAGGGGAGGAGGCCGGGGATCCAGTCCCCCGGGAGAGGCCAGAAAGCCCGGAAAGGATGGGAGAGGAAGGGAAGGGGTAGGCACGGTTTGCTGGGATTGCCAAAGACTCTCGCTCCCTGGCTCCCTGGGGCCAAAGGGCCCAGAGAGGGCGGCAGTGCCCCCTCCCTCCCCCGGGCCCAGGACCCCGCGTACCACCCCCCCCCTCCACTCCTCCCACCCCGCCAAGCCAAAGCCTAGAGCGCCCTGACCGCTCCCACCCTCGGCCTTAGCGGTCTCCTAGGCCGGCAACAGCCTGCAGATTTTGAAAAGGGGTGGCGAGAAAGCAGCCAGTCTTAACCTCAGACTCCCACCCACACTTTCTTAGCGTGAGGTAAGTCAAACGCAACAAAGTGAAAGTCATCGAGTGTAGTGGCTTCAACAGCTTCTCAGGCTGAAGGAGCCACTCGTAGATTTGGGCAGCGAGGGGGGTTTGCTCTCCTCGCCTTTGCGGCTCCCTAAGTCACTTTTCCTTCCGAAGCCGGACGCTGCCGCCCGGGGTTCAGACAGCGTGCGAGGCCAGAAGAGAGGCCGGTGGGGAGAGAGTGGGCGACCCTGGGCTTCGGGCAGACGGCTCGGAGGCCCAGCGTTCCCGCTCCTGCCGCAATCCTAGGCGCTGGGTGCAGCCTGTGGTCGGAGGGGCCTGCACCAGGAGCCCCGCCCGCCCCAGGGCCATGGTGCCCCCGGCCTCCCCGCCCAAGAGGAACCGCCGGTGGGAGCCCCTCGGGCGGCCGGGTCCCGCTCCCAGCCCCAGGCCTCCAGCCCGGCGAAGTCGGACAAACGGGAGGGCCGGGCATTTTGTTTTTTTAAACACAGGATTTTTATTAAAATTCTTATTTAAAAAATGGAAAGCTTTCAGCGCCCGGCGCTCTCGGGGAAACCGCGCCGAACCGCTGAGCTCCAAGTTCGGGGTTCAAGGCCCGGAGGATGGGGCAGGGGGCTCCCTACCTACACGGTTTTCTTTTCCATATTTGAGAAATGTTTGCAGTGAATAAAATTAAAAGAGAAAGGAAGAAAGCAGGGGAAAACGCAAATATAACCAAACCCAAACAAACCACAAAGAAAGGAGCTGGACCCAGAAGGGAAACAGGCCCATCCTGAAGGTCATTTTGGCAACAATCACCACCGATATTTACAACGAAAAGCGAAATCTGCCACCAGTTGTCAGAACGTTTACATGGCCATAAATATTTAGTATTTTCTTATTTTTTTTTAAAAAAGGAAGTAATTCTCTATATTTTTAAAGTGTTCTCCACTTGCTTTAGAAGACAGCTGACAATATCTCTACTCACACAAACATATTTTACAAAATTCACGAAAGCAGGGGTGGGGGATCGGTCTTTTTCTGGTTTTCAAGTGGCGACATGAACGCTGGGACGGTTTGGTCCCCCCGGGGAGAGGCAAAGAAGCGAAGTTGCGCAAACGTTCTGTAAACACGGCGTAGAGTTCAGCCCTCTCCAAAGGTTCAGAAGGAGAGGCTTGGGCAGAGCTGGGTGGGTGGAATCTGCCACTCCAAGGAGACGCAGGCAACCTCCCGGCGCCTCCCTGAGGGAGCCGAGAGTCAACTCGACTCCATAATAATATTTATAATAATAATAATGATAACCACCATGAGGACCGGAGGCCTCCTCGCCGCCGCCGCCGCCGCCGCCGCCGCCGCCGCCGCCGGGGTGGGGCCTGGGCCTGGTGCGCGAGTCTGGTTGGGGTGGTGCTCACCAAGTCCACTGCTGGGCCTGGACCAGGGGGTGTGCTGTCGGGTACTGAGGGGTGCTGGCGGAGCTGTACTGGGCATTGTACTGCATGTGCTGCAGCGACTGCGCGCTGTAGGCCGAAAAGGGGATGCCTGCCTGGAAGGTGGCGGCTGCCAAGTCCTGGGCTTTGAGCGCGTGGCATGGTTTGCCGTCCCTGACCAAGACGGGCACCGCCACCCGGCGCGGCGAGGGCAGGGGCGTCACCTCCATACCTTTCTCCGCCCGGGCGCGCTTCATCTTGTAGCGGTGGTTCTGGAACCAGATCTTGACCTGCGTGGGCGTGAGGCGGATGAGGCTGGCCAGGTGCTCGCGCTCTGGCGCGGACAGGTAACGCTGCTGCCGAAAGCGCCGCTCCAGCTCATAGGTCTGCGCCTTGGAGAAAAGCACCCGCCGCTTCCGTTTCTTGCCAGCATCCCCCCCGCCGCCCGGGGTCTCCTTGTCATTGTCCGGTGACTCGTCGGCCGAGGGTTCCGGGGACTTGGAGCTTGAGTCCTGAGGGGGCGCGCCGGCTGCCAGACCGTGCACTGGGGGAGGGGGAGAAAGAAGCGCGTCAGGCGCCTGGAGGCCGCGCTCAGCCTGCACCGGACTCGGAGCATCCCAGATCCTTCGAGTGCCCCTGGCCCTCCGCGCCTGGCAGCCCAACCAGGCTGCCGTTGCTGTGACCCCTGACTAGCTCCACGCCTGACGAAGACGTCTAGGCCTCCCAGGGTAAAGAGGGAAATCGGCAGGAGAGGGGGCTGGGGTTTGCGTTTCTAGGGGCTCCCATAGTGTGGGTGAGAATTTGGGGGGAGTGGAGCACCAAAGATCATTGCGGGTTAAGGGCTCCGGCCCCCTTAAGCGGTTTCCTCTCGGGAGAGACGTGGGCAGATTTTTAAAAGAAAAACCCCACAATCCCAGCATTGATCTCCTCGACCATTTAAGGCAGGTTTTTGGGGGCTTTGGTTTCTGCTTTCGGGTTTTCTAGACACCCCCTGCACCGCACAAAGCGTCCTCTATGATCGCGCAGGGGGCAGGGTGAGCTATTTATACCCGGGCCACCCGAAGCCTCCCCACCCTCCACCCGTACCGAACGAGGCTCGCTGGCTACCTCCAGTCCCTCCCAGCGGCTGGAGTTGGGGGTCCGGCTGGAGCCCTCAGTCCCGGTTGACATATACCAGCCCCTGGGAGGTATAGCCCTTCTCCCTCTTTCTCCTTAATTTCTCGCGTTGAAAAAAATCTCGGAGACCAAGTCCTTTCCCAGAACTAAAGGGGCTTGAAGAGGAGGGCAGAGGATGTCCTATACATACAAGTGTTAAAAATCTTTCTAGGGATCCGTGTGAGGTGGTCTGGGCTTACATGGCCCCTTCCCCTTTCATTCTCAGTGTCCAGCCCGAGTTGTGGCCGCAGGAATCGAGGCTATCACGGCCTCGGCAGCCAAGTTTCGCTACTTACGGGAGTACTGGAGGCCCTCGGTGCTGGCCAGCCAGCGCGTGTATGGGTTGTCGCTGCTGTCGTAGAAGGGGTTCTTCAGGGGCAGGCTCTGCACCGCGTCTAGGGCTCCCTGCCCCAGCGGCCCGGCCCTCTTAGTGGGCTCGGGCCCCTCGTTCTCTTCCTCCGGCCCTTCGGCCACAGAGCCCTCCTCATCGTTGGTGTCCGGCAGGTCTAAGATGTCCTTGACCGAAAACCCCGTCTTTGTGTTGGTCAGCGACATGGTTCGAGACCCCAAAATTTGTGTCGCAAAGTTGTAGCTTCACTAGGTCAATTTGTGGCGCTCCCCAGCCCGGGCGGGCGGGGGAGGGGGGAGTTGGGGGAAGGGACTGGGGGAGGGGAGGAGGGAATTGGCTTTAATTATTGGTATAATTATTATTTTTAAAAAGGGAAAGAAACTGGGGATGGGGAGGAAAAAAATGAAGCCCAACCCAGTGCCTCTGTCTTCTTTGAAAACACGCGGAAATGAACGTAGGGAGCTGGGCTGCCTGCGCGCCGAGCGCCGCGGGCCCCGGCCTTAGTTTGTAACTCCAGGAGGGGTGCCAAGGCGGCGTCAGCTCGGGCTCCGGCGGCCGCTCGGCGCGCGGTGGCGGCTGGTGGCGAGGAAAAAATGGGCCATTGCCCGAGCGATCAGTCCATATAAGGCTGGGCTCCACTCACGAACCTGGGGAGGGGGGGAGAGGGGGAGAAAGAGAGGGAGGGAGGGAAAGAAAGAGGGAGGGAGGGGGAGCGAGAGAGGGAGCGGGAGAAGGGTGGAAAAAAAAGGGGGAAGAGATATTAAAAACGCAAAGGTTGGCCACGTGTGGGCGGGTCTTGGGAGTCAAGTGGATGAAGACAGTATTTGCAGATGTGAAATTGTGGGTTTTGGGGAGCTCCGCGCTCCCAGCCAACGGCCCTCTAGAGCAAGATAAGAGGTGTAACGTGTCAATTAATTGCAAAGACGGGGCGAGCCTTTTTTTTTTTTTTTTTTAACCCAGTATTTACATACAAAGGGCCACCGCGTCGCTCGCGAGTCCACACACTTGAAAGGGCCGTTTTAACAAATTGCATCTTAAAAAAGGTGGGGGTGGGGAGGAGGAGAAGAGAAAACAAAACAGAAACCAAGAGAAGGGAAAAAAACCCTCTTTAACATTCACTGGTTCCTACCTCCCTGCCCCCGCGTGCCCACCCCCGGCAAGCCGGAAAATTGGCGATTTGTGGAGCCTATGGAAAAGGGGGAGGGGGCGAAGGCCGAGCTGCGGAAATCTCTCCTTTCCATCGCTGGTGGTTCCCTAAACAAGATCCGGTTCAAATGGCAAGAGCCCAACTTCTGTAAGCCTCCTAGGTCAATATTTTGGTTGAGGCTTAAGGATGAGTGCTAGAAATGACAAGGCAAGTAATTGATTCCAGTTAACCGCGAGAGAGCCCGAAACCCAGGAGAGAGCTCCGCTCTCGGCCGGCCGGAGCCACCACCAAGCGACCCGCCCCCCTCCAGCCACCCTTTATTTGCTAAAGACTCATTTATTTCCTTCACTCCGCCTCCCCCCCACCTCCCACCCCCAAGCCCCCGCCTCCACCTCTTGGCGGCCGAGGAGGACGCACAGTTCACTTTCTGCTTTGCGGGCGGTCCCGGGGAGGGCGGGGTTAGAGTGGGGAGCTCCAACTTCAGCTGGGGTCGGACCCCGGCCCTGCTGCCTCTGGTCTCCGCGGGCCGCTTTCCTCGTGTGGAGGAAAGGGCAGACGGCCCCGCTCTTTCCTGCGCTCTATTATCCCTCTCTCTCTTGCCCTCTCTGTCTCCAGCCTCCGACTAGAGGTGGAGCAGAGTGAAGGCAGCGGGGCAGGATTGGGGGGCGGGTGGAGGGGGGGAGGGTTGTTTCTCCAGCCTGGGTGAGGACCCAGAAAGCTGCGGGGAAGGGGGGTCGCTGGGCGGCCCGACGCCACTGCGTTTTCTCCCCAGTTTTTTTTCTCCCGTGCGAGTTCTTTAGTGTGGTCTCCTTTTGAACGCCCTGGGCGCGTTCGGAGTACGCGCTCCACGTTTCCAGGTTAAGTCAGGTTAGTGTGAAGTTTCCAACCACTCTCCGCTCTGGGAACTGAACTTTCCCGGGATTGCACCTCCTCCTCGGCGCTGGGGTTGGAAAAGACTATGGCCCTCCATCAGTTAAAGAAAATTTTTGTGTGTTGTGGGGTATATTGGCTACCTGATGCTCGTTCGCCCCGGAGGAGCGTCAGCAGGCAGCTTTGTCTGGGGGCGGGGAGGGCACAGAAGGCCGACCCTGAAGGGTCCAGGTCTGGTCTTCCCACAGCCTGGGCCGCCTTGGCGCCGGCCAAGCTGACCGCACGGGCGCCGGGTCCTCCTCGCGCGCAGCTGCCGTGGCCGCCGCCGCGCCCCCGCTGCCCCCGGGTTGCCAGCGCCGGGTGAGGGCGCCTCTCCCCGAGCCGCTCTGCGGCTTTCTGCAGCCCTTGCTGCCTCGCCCCCAGTATGTGACGTGGGTGACAATGGCCCAGGTTAGAGTGAGCCCCTCGTCGGCGCGTCCTGGGTGGTCGGACCCGGGCAAACACAAATACAAACCGATTGCTAAGCTGCGGACAATGAGCGAAATGTAGACAAATGTCCCGCTCCCGTTGGAAGCCTTTGTCCCGGCTCGGTTTTTGCATTTATTTCAGTGGCGAAATAATACATGATTGACGCTCTCTTTCAATGTGTCCTAACTGTTTGGAATAAATCTAAGGTTGTTCCTAGTTGTCATGGCATTCAACCCTTTTCAATGGACTATCTCTTCATTCATTTCTGAATCCGTCCACAATATTAAGGAAACCCCTTCATGTCGACGCTCCCCGATTCCTCTTTCTCCTCCTACTTTTTCTTTTCTCTTTCCCCCTCTCTTTCCCCCCTTTTTTCCCTGCAAGAATTAAAAACTGGTTTGAATCGTGTTTCTCGAACCCATTACTTTTAGTGCTTTTTTTTTTTTTTTTTTCTTTTTTCCTCGCTTTTTAGTCTCTGTCTTTCTCAGCCTCCCCCCTCCTTTCACGTGGGAGCTCCTCGCTCTGCCCCGTCGGAGGAGGGAAGTTGGTTCTCCAGGAGTCCGGGAAGAGCCGAGTTTGGATCCAGGGGCGGGGGGTGGGCCTGCCGCTGCCATTGTTACTCAGCTGTTAAATAAATAACTGGTGAGAAAAAAAGTTCCTCTACCCAAGCGTTGCAGCAAAGACACTCCTTTTGTTCCTCCTCTTATTCCTCGGTCCTAAGGGGGTGGAGGCTCTCTTGGGGACCAGAGCGGCCTCCAGGATGGGGATCCAGAATAGAGCCCGGTTGGGCCAGGCAAATTCTTGGATGGGGTGGCAAAGGGGTCTTTGGCAGGAAGTGTCCTTTCTAGCACATCCCCACAGCCACCTTAGGTGGGGGATGCCGGCAGAGGCCTTCCACAGCACGTTCATTTCTTCAGCTGGGAACCACCCCGCTGAAGTTCCATGTAGTTCCCAACTTCTCTCCCCCTTCGCCAGCATAGTGGGCCTTTCTTCCCAGGATCTAAATCAGCACCGCTGCTATTGATCAAGTCCCCTCCCCTCAATCGTGGGAGCCTGCAAGGTCCACAGAGCACCTGAAAGAGGATTGCTTTCCTAGGGGAATCCTGGCTCCTGGAATTAATCATAGGGAGGGAGTGCTGCTATAGGCTCCTTCTCTTGGCGCCCATTTCTCAAAGCCCGGTTTTGCCCTTGCGCCTGCCCCTTGGCCCTAATGATCAGCCGAATCCTTCTGTGTCTCAGCTCACGGTGTCCTCTTCCCGGAGCACCTGAGGCGCCCGCTTCCCCTGCCTTTGCAGGCCACCGCCTGGACTTCGGGCCCTCCTACAGCTCACCCCAGCGAGTCTTCCAGTTTTTCTTTCCCCTGACCTGGGGGCAGCTGAGCAGGGAGGGAGGGAACTGGAGAGAGCTTCGGCCTTGCCTCTTCCGCGATCGGTGCTGCCGGGTCCACAGCGTTCAGTCTCTCCCGGGACCTCGAGACTCCATTTCCCCATCACTTCGTTGCCCGAGTGGTTCCCGCGTCCGTTTCCGGAGTGTTAACATTTGCAAATGAAAAGGCGCAAGGAGACCGCTGGGAGGCCGTAATTGAAGGGGAGAAACTGGGCTTGTTAGTGGAAGATCATAAAATACAAGTCCCCCAGGAGCGGCCTGTGGACGCCTGGAGGCCCGCGCAGGCCCAGCTGGCGGCCAGGGCAAGTCCGGTGCCCAGAGCACAGTCCAGCGTCTCCTCAATTTCTTGGGCCCCGTTTGCGCCCAAAGAGCCTGGAGGCCAAGGCGCCCAATGCACCTCTTCCGCCCCAATTAAACAGGTGATTGCATCCTGAGGACTCCCCAAGAGGCCTCCCGGCGAGCGCCACAGCGTGGCCTTTTAGAACCCGGAAGCTTCCGTTCCCTGCGTTCCCGCACACCCCGAATACTGAGAGGCCCTGCCCCGCTCCCTTCCCCCTCCGGAGAGTCCTTCAGTCACTGCCCACCATCTCCACCCTGCCAGTGTCTGCCAGCACCAGTTTCACCTCCACTCGTCTCCGCCACTCGGCATTCCTTAGGAAATTCTTTCCAGGTACCATCTTGCACCCAAGAGTTCAATGTCCTCCGTTCCGTCAAGTTTGGGCTTGAGCTTTGGGCTCAGCTGCAGTGGTCTGGAGACCTCATAGGCGCTCTGCAAGATGCCTCGTTCTGCTGCGTGCTTGGGTAGGAAGTTGAGGCGGGTGCTGGAAGTTCTGAACTCAGCGTGCCCCAGGCCGGAGGAGATTTGCTTTGCGTCTCCTTAGCGTCACGAACACCGTGTACCCCTGCTGGGGTCACCTGAACAGCTGGAACCCCAACGCCATCTTTATTCGCATTGAGGCTTCAGGTTCCGTACCCATCTCTAGCTCTATTCATTCTTCCTAGGTTGAGAATGGACGCATTGAGAGTCCCAGGCAGGGGAGAAGGCGGGGGAGGGGAGGAAGAGCACCTGTGCCCCCGGAGGCTCGAGGGGCGCCTCGCTTGTTCTGTTGCTCTGGGTTCTGCGACGGATTGAGTTCGGGCTCAGGCGGCTGGTGCGGGCGCAGGAAGGCGGAACAATCGCCGGAGGCCCGGGAGGCGAGGCGAATGTACACAGGCTAAGTGGCCCCACTCCAGGACAAGTGGCCCTCTAAGTCGGCCCAGTGTTTACCTGTTTACTTTCCCAGGTAGCTCAAATACGAGCGCCTTTTCTGCGCTCCGGGGCACGGGGGCCGCCCAGAGGCACCCCGGGTTCCCGGCTGCTGCCCTCCCACGCCTCAGCGGTACGCCCCCTGTTGGGGGGCGGCTGGTGCGCCCTAAACAACAGCAAAACAGGCAAGAAAGGAAGATACAGGAGAGCAGGCGAGGCCTCGGCTCTCCCCACGGAGGGGAGCCTCTCTTGGGCTCAGTGGACGGCATCCAGTCCCTTCCCCCATCTCTGTTCTGGGCAACGGGGGCCTCTTGGGAGGCCGCCTGTGTTCGCATCCTTCCCGGTTCAAGCCGATGGTGAAAGCTTGCAGGGTACCTGTCTCCTGTCTTCCAGGGGAATGAAGGGCAGAAAAAGTCTTCCGAGGTGGGGGCTGCGGTCTTGGGGCCTGCTCTAAAGAGGGGGCGACCTTGAGGAGCCCAA